TTGAAATATGGTGGTAGCACTGGAGATGAGAGAAGAGGGTGGATGGGAGAGAGAAAAAGAGGGTGAATCCACATGATCTGGTGCTCGACTGCTATAGACAGTAGAGGGAGGGTGAATGATGGAGTTTGGATGTATTGTCCTCCCAGAACTCATGGAAATCTAATCTCCAATGTGGCAGTTTGGGTCATGGAGGCAGATACCTCATGAATGGATTAATGCTCTACCTGGGGGAGGGGAGAAATTAATGAGTGAGTTCTCACTCTATTAGTTCCCACGAGAGCTGATTGTTTAATAGACCCGGCACCTCCTCTCTCTCTCTCTCGCTTCCTCTCGCCATGTGATCTGCTTGTACCCGCTGGCAGCCTGCCATTTTCCACCATGAGCAGAAGTAGCCTGAGGCCTGTGCCAGATGCAGCTGTCCCAGAATTGTAAGCCAAATAAACCTCTGTTCTTTATAAATTACCCAGTCTCAGGTATTTCTGTTATAGCAACACAAATGGACTAATACAGTGAGCTCATTAGAGACTCTCAGAACTCAGGAATGAGCACCTAGGCAGATGAAAATTCCCCTTCCTGGGAAGAGTAACAACAGTAGAGGAGAAATTGATTTGATGTAGAAAAAGATCAAAAGGTCAGTTCTGAACACAGTAATTTTGATCTCATAATCTCTTTGATCTCCATGAGATATCTACCTATGATACAAGAAAGACACGTTTAGTGAACGATTGCATATCTGAATCTGGTCCATCTGCAGACCTGTGGAAGCAGAATGACCTGGAACTTTTGATTACCTGGCTCTACCCCAGGCTTAATAAATAAAAATCCTCAAGAGAACATAGCCAGTCTAATACCATAAGGTTACAAGCAGTGGAAAAAATTTGGTCATCACTGCATAGTTACACTAGTTAACCTTTAAGCTCCTTTACAACTTTTAGTGCCTATAATGTCATGAATAGAAAAATGCCCAGACTAAGTAATAAATTGATTATTACTTTCTAGGAGTAAATGTGCTGGATCATCCATGAGACACCTCTGCAGAAAGAAAGCCATATCCAGATCCTTCTACTTATATTGCCATGTTTGTGGCATATGATGCTGCCACATTGGCCACAAATTAATTGATCCAGAAACCAGGCCCTAGCCAAATGCAACAACCTAATGGTTCCAGGGGTTTACGATGTGACCTTTCTTAAGAATCCAGTCCAACTGATGCACAGTTCTGGATGGTAACTAATGTACCAAATCAGATTTTTTTTTCCTTTCTCCAAAGGGAAGGAGAGTGGGGAGAAATTAGAAACAGAAAAACAGAAGCATATGGATTAGTACGAAGACAAGAGTAGAGGGAGAATCAGGCGGAGAGAGAAGCAAAGAGAAACAGAAGCAGAGTCACAAGTATGACCATCAGGAGAACAAGGCTCAGGTGATACCCTCTTCTAAGCGGATGACAGTGCAACTGGATTCCCCAGTTCACTACAGTTCAGTTATTCAACAAGTAATCATTGAGCACCTACTATGTGCCAAGCATTGTGGTAGGTGACGGGGATACTCAAATGAACAAAACTGTCATCACGGACACCTCATTCAGGTACATCATGATGAGTACTATGTAAAAAATCAAGGTGGTATGCGAGCACATAGTAATAACAGAGGCAATCGCTGTGTTAAATAGGCTGCTTGAAAAGACGGGCACTCTGAGGAGGTAACATTAGCTGAGCCATCAGTGTGGTCACTGAGGAAAGAGCATTCCAGGCAGAGAAAATGGAAAATACGAACACTGTGAAATGGAAGTGTGTTTGGCATGAGGTTGGATGCCTGTGAGCAAGGGGCAGCAGGAAAGGAGACGAGGCGAAAGAGGGAGGCCAGGTTATAAGGCCACTTGTAAGGGGCTTGTAAGCCATGGTTGGATTTTCAGTTTTATTCTGAATGTGACAGGAAGCCATTGAGGGTTTTGATCAGGGGGATGCCATGATCATGTTCATGAGTTAGAGGAATTACTCTGACTTCTTTGTGGAGACTAGATTGTAAATGAGTGAGAATGGAAGCAGCAAGACCAGTCAAAAGGCTACTTTGACAGTCCAGGCAAGAAAGAATGGTAGCCTGGCCAAGAAAGCAGCAGTGGAAGAGATGGACAGGGGTCAGATGAGGAATGCATATTGGAATTAGAGCTATCAAGAGTAGATGATGGATTGGGCAAGAGAGAGATGTCAAGAAGTCAGCAGTATTTTTGTTCTCAACAGCTAAGTGCAACTTACTGAAATGGGGAAAAACAGATAAAGAGCCAGTGAGTTTGGTTTTGGACATACAAAGATTGAGAAGCCTAATAACATTCAAGTGAAGAAATTTGGTAGGTGTTGGAAATGGGGGCCTGACGTTCGAGAGACATGTTAGGATCGGAGATGTGAATTTGGGGGCATCAACATATCAGTCCTGAAAGTTGCCTGATTAAATGGTTTCCTCTGCTTTATTGCTTCCCTTCCCTCATCATGAAAGGTCATCTGGACATGTCCCTGTTTTCTAAAACCTGGTAACCATAAGTAGCATAGTAACTGCAAAATGGAAACAGACATGAGCTTAGGAGATAGGGTAGTTGTCTGTCTACAGATTGATATGAAACAGTAGGTGGGATGTGGGAGAGGGAAGGAGCCTGCCTAGTTTTGTTTTGGTTTGGTTTGGTTTACTCACAGTTACTCACTGGGTCCTTCATGAAGCCTTAGCTGGCTTTTTTGTCAGAGTAAATTTTTTCAGAACTGTAATCATGTCTGTTGATGTTTTGCTCTCCCAGCAAACTTTTTTACTCTTGATAATTGCATGTTCCACTGCAGTTTAAGGAATTTTACATTCTAGAGCAATTGTATCATTGTATTTAGCATCTCAATAACATTTTCTTTGTTCATTCATCTTTCTCATGATCAAAGCCTCTTAATGTGCTCACAATGCTACCATTGCTTAATTTTGTCTTGAAGTATTCATTTCTAGCTCCTAGGGACAGGTAAACTGAATAAAACATGTGGTTTTAGCTTTCTCTTTTCTTTTATCACAAGCAAGAGACTTACAAAGGTATTCACTGGTTATAAATGAGGACCTAAGTGTCTTCAAATAACACCCTGATATCCTCCTGAAAGAATTACTGTACTAACACAAGCCTTTAACTCATGACCACGAATAATTGTCATTGAATGACCATCTTGGGGGGCTTAACAATGTAAGGTTATATGTAAAAATGTGCAATAGGACTAACTTTCCTAAATGGTAGGATCTCACTTTCTTACGACATTTGAGAGCTAAATATAATAAATACCATGGGTCCTTGGGGCTTTGAGTTTAAGATTTTCCTTTAAAAATAATACTATTATTCTCTGAGGATGTGAGAACAGTATTACTTTATTTAGCTTAAGCTAACCCAGAATAGAATAGAGGAAATAATGAAATGAATGAAAATATATCTTTCATTGTTGCCCATGCCAAAACTGATGTGTCTTGAAAGTACAAAAATCACTTACAATGGGGAAATACCTTTAAAATGGTTAAAGTTATTGTTAAAGAAGGATGCTTAATAGTTTCAATAATTTCCTTGGAATCAACTACAATGCTGGTAATCATATTATTTACTGTAGTCTTACGAACAAGCAAACATGGTGTTTTATAGTTGCCCAGGAAGGAAAGTTTAATGTGTCCATTTATATCCCACCTCCATGAAAAGGCCCCAAATGTGGAGAGAATACAGAGTGGAAAATTTCATTTCCAATTTAGATATCTCTCCAAACTCTAGAGGAAGCTGCTCAGCTGGCCTCTCCTGCCATTGAAACCGAGCTGGACAACTACATGAATAACCACTGGGCCAATGGCCCAAGTGCCAGATGAATGTGAGCTACTGGATTGGACAGACTCTGCCTTGTCTCAGGAGCATTATTGTGTGAGAAATAGAAGAAAAGCCTTCCCTGAAACTGATGTTGATCAAAATACTGATACATTTAGATGTACTCTTAGCAGTTCCAATTTTGGGGAGAACTCTTGGAAAAATGCCAACATCTGAACTAGCATTCTTAGTTGTTATTTTGACATGGATATTCAATAGCTGTTTGACTGGGCTTTTTAGAGCTGCTCCTGACATAAATCAATGAGGCAACACTTTACATTAAATCCCCCCCCCCCCCCACT